TATATATATATATATATATATAGAAACGTAAGAGCCACTTAAAATGACGGTTGCATGATGTGAGAACCATTTAATGGGTGTATCAAGGTCAGACGAAAAAACAAACTTGAGGCAGGTAACCACGTGCGTGAGGTTATGCCGAAGATCATCTGTGCTCTAGTACAGTTCCCATGGTTGCTGATGTGTCTGACCATAGCGATTCAAAGACTGCCACCAAGTTAAGTGATCCGTTGGTAGAAATCCCAGATTTGAGAAACTCGTGTCTATCAAAAGGCTCGTGCTTGCCTTACGACCTTAAATTGATTCGAAACCCATCTATTGTGTCCCTAGGCGTCTAAGTAAAAGACAACGAGAGTTTTCTATCTGCGATACTTCATTGCAAGTAATTGTTTGTGGAACTGCGTTGCTTAGTCTGATAGAAAAATATGTTATATATTATTATTATTATTATATGTTATATATTTGTTGCCATGCTAAAGCTCTATATAAACACTGTATTTTCTGCAGTATGCACCATGTTGAGATGCAGCGAAATCGTCCTGGACATAAATCGTGCAGTATTGCCATATGGTCTTTTCTTTTGAAATTAATCTCAGGAAAGGCTTGTTTCCGAGAAATATTCGGCAACTGAATATCTCTGCCTATAAGAGCAAACTACTAACAACAACCATTACCTGGGCCTAAGATATAGAACATGATTTCAACACTGAACTTCCAGTATAGTAATTAAAAACGACAACAAATCCCATATTGAGACAATGGCCGAATGGAATGGTTATGTTGTCAGTACCACCGACGCTAGATCGAGTTCAATGGCTGGTACCTGATGCCGTCCATTGATTCCTTAAACAAGTGGTGCGCAAAGCGTCAGACAGACATTCCTTGTGTTAGGTGGTGGCGGTCAAGCTGTTTAAATCGCTGTCAAGGGTGTGCTTTTGTTATAATTCTATAAGGCGGCGCCTGCACGAGGATAGTTATTCATTATGAACTACGGCCAGGGTATCGGAAAATTTGACATTCGTTCAAAAAGCTGTTTCATTTGGAACGAGTCTTCAGAATCTCTACAAGCACACAGGATAGTGAATGGAACGGTCCAATAGTAGATGCGAATATGGCAATTAGCTCCAACACGTCTGGTTCGTTTTTGAACGTTGAGAGAAACCACCAATCGCATCCTTTCGTAAACTACTCACGAATGTGAGTAGTATATCACAACACTTTGGCCCGTAGGGCTGGAGGTACGAAACTAGCCAGCAGGCACTACCGTCTAACTTCCGACTCAAGCCTGACAACAAATTAAACAATAAATGGTAAAGAACAGGGAGAAAAAAGTTGAACCGATTGAGAACTCTCATGAACGCACCTTTCCGCAGCATAGGATCAACTTTTTCACACCTTCCGGTCGTTCGGCAGCTTTGCCCGTTTCCGGGATGAAACGTTTGAACTCGGATCCTGGGAGGAAATCTTCGAACGGTGACCTGGCATCCGGATGGCGCAAAAGGGATTTCGGCGTGAAAACAATCAGCTAGATAAGCAAGAGTGGGGAAACAGTTTCCCATGAGTACAGCAGATATGCAAAAATAAGGATCAATAATCATTCACATAACCGGAAAAACGGCCTTCATATAACCTGAAGCACAGAACTGAACCCAGACAATTACTTACCACTTTTGTTCATTATACATGAGCACGTGTACAGACTGAATGACGAGGCACACTTGATGAGGATGCGAAAAACCTCGGTTATCATCTTCGTTTACGCAAGAACCAATTCCCAGGTAAATTCACGCAGAACTATCTCAGCTTGTATTATTTATCCTAGTAGCGAAGCAAATCGCACTGGAGATATAAATATACATTTAAAATCCGTCTTATCGAATCTTGGCAAGTTACGGCAGATTAACGCTTGTCTGCACACAACAGTGGGCCTGCTGAGTGGCGAGCCTAATGGCGAACGATACCATTCAAAGGGACTTACTATTTTTACTTTACTGCGGCTGGATCCTTAGAAAAGATACACCGGCTCTATGAATGTCTCTGATTGCCTCGCCTCGGAAGTGAGAGGGTCAATGACTTTAGTTTTAAAAGGCCAGTCACATCAACCTTTGTCACGACAGCGTCATTGAGCTTATGTGGCTTTTATACAGGAGCCAGGTGATCAGCCTGAAACCCACCACACCCATGTAGTGTCACCGTTGTTTGCTCGTGACTGCTTATTTGTTGCGGTATTCCACAACTTATTCACAGCTAACCTTCTTCGGTGAAGGTATCCCCCTATCCACAACCCGGGGACGCGCCTTGTACCATTCATCTCTGCATAACAACAATGGTGCTCTGGCGCAAGATGGAGATCAGTCTGCGATTCAAATTTGCGCATACCACACTTCTACGAACTCGGGCACCGCATGCGACTGACAAATCTGGTCGCTACAGATGGAAAGTATCAGCGAATTAGGGGTATTGAATCAATGGAGTTTAAGATCCATGAATAGCGTTCGCTGGTAGGGCAATGAACGTGTATACTGTAACATCAAACGAATCTAAGCGCTTATTCAAAAGCTCCTCCCATAGCAGCTTGGTTATGTATCGTAATTGTCAGATCATAAAGTAATTTAGCTGGCTCACATTTCCATCTATGATTCTATCTTGTAGTGATTTAGAGGTGTACAGCTGAAAAACTGAATAAGAACCGTCGATTCCGACACGCACAATTTAGGACTATAAAACACTTTTCAAGGAAATAGCGACTGGAACAAAAATAAGCTAAACCTGCCTCGGGACATAGACTTTGGTTGCCGTGTCTGGGCAGCTACGACTCAATGTGTGCATGAAACCGGTACATCTTCTCACATACAAAACAGAGTGTTCCCCACAGCACATTCACGACCCGAAAGATTCTTCGGGAGAATTTGTAGTTGAAATCAAACGGCCGAGTTTGAAAGTATACCTACAAATGGTATCACTTCGCCCGATGCACAACAACTGTGTAAGCAATCTTCTAGGATCGGACTTCAGTCAAGAGGGTGCTCAAAGGGAAACATAATTCATGGATGATTTTATCAATTGACAAAGAACGGGCTTCGGGAATGGTTCGGCAATGAGATGTGAACTCGACAAGAGCTTGCAACTGAACAAAAAGGTGTTGTGTCTCATGGGATAGACTACAGAATAAGTGATACTGGATGAGGTTGAATACACAGAAAAACGGATAGTACCATACCTATTCAAATCCAGGAACATTACTGGTGGTGGTGTGTTCTCCGAGCTGGAAGTGTTTTTTGCAGATATTTCGTAGCCAGACTAGGCAGCATTATCAGTGCAACTTCCCGCATGTAGAACGGTTAAAATGCCCCACGGAACACAATTTCGATTACAGTGCAACACGACAAATCCGATTAAATGACAGTTGAGTCAACAACATTGGGTTACCCACATTTTAAGTGGAGATTAATTGTGATGCAAACGATTGACCGTTTCCATTCGTATATACCACTGCTCATATTGTGTGCCGTACTGACATAATTCAAATGCATTAAAACCGAGCTTGTTTGCCACTTTGTGTTCTCATATTTAGAACATTTAACACGAATGAAGATGAGTCCGCGCACAGTATACAACGATCAGATGAACGCACAGAAACTGGATCGACTTAGTTGATGAACACAGATGGTCGGTTTTGTACTGTATAGATAGTAAGAAGCAAAATCAGTTCGCTGTGAACACTGAGCAGCTGTACCTCCTTGGAATATACATCACGATTAGAACGAGATTAGGCGCGACACGAGCTCACAGAGTTAGACTTGCAGAGAAACCACCAAAGGAGAAACTATGGGATTTATGAGCCAAATTTAACGAAAAGCATTCAATTCTTAGCAACGGGAAGTATGTTATAGGTGATAAAGATGATTATTCTCCAAGGTTCAAGTACCGTGCCGCGGACAGCGACACATGTTACGCCCATCCTGGTATAGAACAGCTCCGCCACCCGATGATGTTAATGATGGTGAACGGGTAGTTGTTAGTTGACGGAACAATAAGATGAACGGGAATGGGTTCTCATATATATGCTCCGGTTTCCTCAGATTTCTCTCAATGCGTAGTCCGACCTGGTTTGTTGGAGAGCAGCAACCAAAACCAGGACAACCGATTGCATAAACTAAACTCACTCCAGTATTGTAGTGGGTATAACTTGTTTGACACACTAGTAGCGCATGACTGACACCGATTAAAGCACGCCTTTAAGCACTCATACAACGTGACCTGCGAACACGAATGAACCAGTTCTGGCTCAGGTCAACGAAAAGCACAGTGATGCTGCATTAGTTCCGTTGGTTCACAGAATCCGGACAACCAGACAAGGCACGCTTAAACGGAATCCATGAACGGGATGCATGTGTTAAGTGGTCAGCCGGTAGAAATTTAAAGAGCCATGTTGTTCCCATCGCTAATTTTGACGTTAATTATGACCCCTGTCTGTGTTCCGCGGCCACCATTGATTAATTATTCGACACCTAGTGACAGGGAGGTTTCGAAATCACCACATCAACACCAACCCGAAATCTCCTGACACTCTTTTCGGAATGCATACGATATTTAAGAACAAACGGTTGCTGACAAATATTCTACTTGAAATAAAAAATGAAACACTGATGAAGTATTTTCAATTGTCATATTCCAACTAATTGATACAACTGGAGTTTGTAGCGGAATTATCTTGCGTAGTTGAGTTTCAGTTGTACCACGACGTTCCAATTGGCCAGTGTGTGAACCAAAAGACCGTCAAAATCGTACACTGCAGCTCAAACAAGGTCAGGTTAGGCAGATATGCCTCGTACCAAAGTTAGTCTAAGGTGTAAGTTGTTTTTCCGATCGTTGCTCTATCGATCAACGAACGGCAGACCAGTGCCAGCTCCCGAAGCGCCTGCAGTCATCCAACTCAGTGGGTTCAGTTCGCTTCAACACTGGATGAATCATTTAGACGGGATAACTGGAGAGCAGAGATCAATCAATTTACAGCTGAGAGCTGAAACTGATAGCGTGGAACTAGGCAACAAAGTCAATCACGGGAAGTTATTGATCCGGTGGTTATCTCGGTTTTATTTCGAGGGGGCGAGAACAGGTTGTCAGGATAACGCTCGCAGTTGATTACCACAGTGAGCCTGAGTTTGACAAATTACAGGGACCTGCATTTAATTACAGCCGTTAATTCGTGTATGTTATGTATGTATGCGAGGAAAACGATAATTATGGACATGTGATAATTGGTAACATCACAATGATGCTAAATTATACGACGAATTCGGTCCGGGATGATAGAAAAGGGGAGGGATAAAATTCACAAAGAATGAGTTGCTCTTACCGGTTTGCGGAATGGCAATAGGATCTGTCTCCGCAAAATGTGGAAGAAATTGGCTGGGGTGGTACAATTGGCCACAATCCAGTTGGTCTCGTGTAATTGTTGCATCACAAATTGATCACTGAATATCTAAGAGGGAGGGGACAACCGAATAAGGAGAATCGTGAGTGCGAACCTCACGTCATAGATATATGCGGAACACAACAACGAGTAACCAAAACGAATTGAGGTAGCGTGTCAATCATCGATCGCAGCAAGCTTCCGTTCGAGAATCAACTTGTGTTCTGATTTCCGAAAGTGACTTGTGACAGAATCGTAGCACTCGGTCACGTTTTTGTTATATGCGATGCGGTTAGACCACACCCGATTTTGCGCCACTAAACGAGATTGTTTCAAAAACGGCACGAGTTTCAGATAGCTTCCCAAAAGTGCATTTAGTTGCCGTAGTAACCGGTAGACAAGTTTCCTTTTCGAGGGCACAATGAAAATGCAAACCACCGCGAAGAGGAAGTTCCCGATGCTCATACGAGGACAGGACAGGAGGCGGCTATAAGAAGCAAACTGATGAGAATAAAAAAACGTAAAAGACAACCGAATAGAACGGGTCAACAAATTCCGAACCAGTTACATAATGTGCACAAAAACAGGATTTGTGTTTCTCCAAACAGCGTTCCGCCACACAGGGCTGTAGGTGTTCTTCCGGAGAAGGAATACTCCAACTCTCTGGATACTGAAGCGAATGGTCAAAATCCAGAAGGGATTAAGCTAGCAGTAAGAACACGATGAAGTAAACAAAGGAAAACATTTCCAATTGGTGAGGGTTGTAACCATCAATGAATTTATTTCACAAGTGTGAATGCACATTATGTGCGAGGTTTCATAAAGTAATGCGTATAGTACCGTTTTCTGAATGTTTTCAAGGGACTAGGGAACACATACCAATATCGGATAGCTTTTCCCATGTATGGGAGTACAATGCCTGGATAAGGCGATGCAAAGGAAAGAGTGTGATCTCAAGTTCAACCTATGGATCATCGCCTCCGACTAAATTCACTTACAAGGCCAACACGATGAATAAATGAAGTGAGAACGCGCCTAAAATCAAATCAAGCGGGTGCAGGAATCGCGTTAATGTCAGTCGAATTCCGTCTATTATGGTCATTTTTCTTTATGGGTAAGAGAAAGTTGATGACCTTGAATTAACCAGTTCCGTTCAGTTTTTACAACCATTAACTATGCACTTTCGTGCGCCGGTTCTGGTTGGTGTCTTTTGGTGAATTATCCAGTTTGGTATGATTCAGTAGATACGACCGCGAACCACTTATGTTGGTATTTTGGTTTGGAGTACTATTGCTGTCGGGCTGTGGATCAATGGACAACTCGAATAGTAGGGCCACGAGTGTGAATGCATACATGACGACCCAATAGGACAAGCCTGAACTTGGCGAAACAGGTGTTCGCCTATGACGATTATTATGCAACATCTATAGACCACAGCTAAGTAGCAGAAACAAGCGANTTCGAAGTAAAAATGACAACGGGTGGCGCTGGCCAAGTGGTTTCATTGGCTGTCACCGATGTTTTTTTCCCTGAGGTACGAAACCCGCCACCGCCACCCAACTTTGGTAGTACGCAGTCACACTGCCGTCAAGCTCACTGCCATTCCTAACCTAGTGGGGCCTTACGTGGGGTTCGCCACGCTGAGTGCCCAGGGTTAGCTTGACAGTTTCCGGGAATGAACAACAGGTATTTGTGACTATGGGATTTATCTAGTCTGTCGAAGATAACATAAAAAGGTGTAATTAAAGAGAATTGGAATTTAATCGTGCATCGGAAAACATGTCCAAGATTTGCTTACCAGATGTGGCTACCGAAAAAAATGACAACACATTGAGAGAGAGCTTTGAATTCCGCTCGTGAATAAAATAATAAAGATGAAATTGATCCGATTATGAAGCAGCGTATTAAGTGACACAAATCACCGACTACGGTTTCCCGAAAAATTGCAAACTGAAAACCCATTCTACCCACATTTAAAGGAAGTGTAACTTCAGGAAACTTCTGTCAGTAGGAAATGAATGCGTCAAAGACAGAAGAAAAGTAAGGATCATGTGAAGTCTAGTAGTGATGAATAATTCGACCGAATACAACACTTACTGGAACATGGTTTTCATCATCATTGGACATCTGGAGGAATCGTTCCATTCGGGCGCTTGAGTGTTCCGGTCCCATTCCTTCATAGCCATGTGGCAACAATAGGACCAATCCGGACTGCCGAACCCATTTCTGCTGTCCGGATGAGATGAACTGATCGATCACACATTGGGCGTTGTTGTTGAAGTCACCGAATTGCGCTTCCCACAAAACCAACGCATTCGGATTGGTCAGCGAATAGCCCAGTTCGAAACCCATCACGGCGTACTCGGACAGGCTGGAATTGCACACGGTAAACGGTGCTTGGTCCGGGAACAGATGGTTCAAAGGCACGTATGTTTTTTTGTCTACTTCCTATAGGCCCAAAGGGGTGCGGAGGGTTTGGGGATTGGGACCAGATAAAACAGCCGATTCTGTTAATCCACGACAGAAATTAGGAAAGCAGAAAAAAAGATCGTTCATATTCATATAATTGGTGTGGCAACATGCGCTGAGTAGAAAAGATGACTTGGGACAACTTGATTGTCATTCACCACGGCTCGTAACCAAATCGCATTGCAGTCGTTACTCTGCGCAATGAATTGTACATTCCAATTGTTCTAACTTCTCGAATATGATTAACTTCAACTGAGGACTCGCATGTAGATTGGGTAATCAGTTTGACAACTCAGGAATTGATGTTTCATGTGTATCACAGACGAGAGCTCAGGGTCCCAGTAGCCACTTACGTAATAATTTCTCCGCAGATCAAGAGAGGAAGAGGACTGTCGTTGTTTCTTCAGCCAAGTTTTTTTATCTTTGTTCATGTCGAGACCAATTAGGGTGATGTTTGGCTGCTTCAAAAGAAGCGTGGGTTGACATTACACTTCCGTACGCTAAACTTCCTGAGTTCTGATACTCCCGAACTGGGTAAACTGGTGGATCAAAATCATCAATGAAATGGAAGCAGCTGTTTTTTTCTTCAGGGAACAGGCAGGGAATGCAAAACCAAAGGTCAGCGGATCCTGATTAGCAAAACGATCTGCGATACAATTGGACAGATATGCTTAATAAGGAGCGGCAGCTTGATCGCCATACTATTTCAAAGGATAACTAAGTTGGCTCGGTGCTAGGCAGGTTAATCTGGGAGTAGCAGCTGACGTTGCATGAGCGGTCTCATGTTAGCTTTCGAAAAGAATTTGAGCTACGAACTTCTATTCCAGCGGCAAGCAGTTCAAACCGGACGGTTTTTTTTAACATGTAAGTCCCCCCGCGGGCGCTTTGTTATCACATCATATTTGGTCACAGCAGGCATTCCCTAATCAAGAATGTACCACATATAGTGTAAGCCTCCACAGGATGAATCGATGGACTATGCATGGTAGAAAGTCAATCCGAATGACCAGGATGAATGAATATGTTACTGCTACGGTTTGCGAACAGAGGGAAGAATTTTCAATGGAGGCTCTCAGTTGCGTTGCAATGAGTAAATGGTTCGGAATTAAGAAGATCGCCGTTCACATTAGAGAGAAATACGAAGGTGGACACATATGGGAGGACGCTCAAAACTCACACGAACTTTTTCTACGAGGTCCCAGTTAATGAGGTAATTCTTTTCAACATACCAATGTGCCCGTTCATACTCCATACCGCACGAAAACTTGGTTGTGGTACAGTGTTCGACTGCTGAATTAAATCATCTACAGTAATCATTGATAGTCGATGGAAATTGATAGGAGGAATCACGAAAAAGGGTGCCCATGACAGGTATATGCCTTCCCATACAAAGAATAAACTAAAGAAAACCACTGTTGCAGGATAAATGAAATCGGCATTGGAACCTGTGCTGTCTTTGATCAGTAATGTGCACTGAAAAATAAAGGATATTGTATCTCCTCTGAACTGTGGTTAATACAACCCGTTGTTTGGGTTGGTTTTAAGAGAATTTAAACCGTCATGGACACCGTTCAGGATAAAAAGGTGACAGAGATACAGAAAAGACACCTGGGGAAACGGATGGCCTTAAAACAACTCTCAGATAGCTTTCTCATTTCGAATACGTGATTCTACCCCGTATATCNGTGCGTGACCGTAGTTCACGTGATGGGGAAACGACGGCCCAATAAATACCGTACACAAAAATGAGCCTGTCTTCCTCCACTTTGTTGTATGTGCTTCGTTCTAGTGGGTCAGCGTTCTCAGCGGAAAATAAACTGATTACCAACCCCAACTATTGCTTCCGAGCGTCTCATAAAAAAGTTTAAGCTATTCACACTAAAGACAAACGTTAAACTTTGTGGAGTTAGTGGGTCATTGGGTTGTCCAATGATCGTGTACGGTGTCGTGGTTGGTGTTCCATCTGACCACGAGAAACAAGGTCAAATTGGCACGCTTTTCATTCAACTATCCTCTGATCGAAGATGTTGAAACAAAAGACACGCACGCGCGCGCGCACACACACATACACACATCGCGATGTGTCACTTCAACGAACGTCGTATCGATCGCACAGCACGTGAACGCGCCTATTGCAATGACCTTTTCTTGGAGGTCAAATAAAAGTACAAAGATGAGGACAATTTGCATACACACGTGGAAAACAAGGCCAAATGCAACATTCTGTCGGAAAGATGCGCTTAGCTTGTGACAGCGTTGCGGCTGCACAATTGATCGGGTCGAATCCGCCAAACTTATCAGACAATGCGGACAGGATACGGAACGTGTGAACGAGGCAAAGGTGTCTTAGAAAGCCACGGGAGTGGGACGAGCAAAATGTTAGCCACAGAGTCAACCAGGATGTAACGCCAAAAAATTATTATTAATATCAGACCAGTAATTATCCCAAGTGTATTGTGGAAACAGTATTCTACGCCTGTCTGTTGTTGTTCGACCAGTTGGCATAAATCGGTGCAGCATTAGTATTTGGGGAGATTCAAAAAAAGTCAAATTCTAAGAATTCTGAGTTGAAATCTGGTTCCATACCGCTAGGTCTAAGCTATTTATCAATATAAGGTTATCTCCGATTTTGAATTACTAACTGCCTGCAGTCATAAAATGGATATATATATATATAATGTATGCAGAAATAGCGCTAACAAGTCTCAGCGTTTGCTCCGACAGCTTGTTTCGTACTGGTTATTTGCTCCAACCCGATTAATCAATTGTTGATAATGATTCTGTCTACAGTACACAAGTACCCAGAGGGCCTTTTTACCACCACTGGCTCTTCACAGATCACTATTTGTTCACCAAGTTTGGATTGGTTCTTTACATATCATTCACCACGGGGACAGGGCTCTGCTCGTTTGGTTCAAGTATTTATACCGCTACCGGGCTTTGTTAATTCACTCGCAGTCCGAACTTGTTGCTCCGGTGATTTCATCATCAGTACTATTGAATTGAATTTTATCCCATAGAAAAAAGCAGTTGGTTCTAGGACGGATGGAAACTTTTTATTGGTTTCATGTGATGTGAAAATGTACAAAGAGATGGTATAACGTAGATGGAAAAGCACTTGAATGCAACAGCAAAGAACTACGAGAAATCGTCGATATGAAGGGCATCGGTCAACCGTAAATGATAAATCACAGAAACAAGTTGTACGGGCATTACCCCTCTACTGTTCGTTGTGGCGAAACATGCAGTAGAAAGGTGGAACAGTTCAATCCCGAAAAATCATCCACTGTCTATAGTGATGTTAACCGCTAATATCAACTGTGAGGACCAGAATGACAAATAAAAATGAAGCCCCTTGTTGTGGATGAGTGCTAACAGAACTACTGATCACGAACAGTACCCTTTTTACAACAAAGGTTTACCAAGCAGTCATCCATTTGGATAAGCATACAGCGGAAGTCTCAACAGCTGCGAAAAACATGGATTTGGTGGAGCATCCATAGTGTTTAAGTTACTACATGATACACCATAGTAGCACGGCGTTATCTACAGCTACCCACACTCTGAGGGGGGGGGCGTTTAAACCGATTGACACTGAGCTCGGTAATGCGAGGACAGGCGAAGGGGGGGAGACAGATTCAGGGAGTGAACAAGTGAAACAATAAATATACCTGATCATGTAAGACACTGTGACGATGTGAGAAGGTTCCACGCTCCACATCTTGACCGGATAGACGGACATGGTAGCCCTCCTTGAGTAGGGAACCGTAAGCGAATTGTTCTCCGAGGGCCCAATTGGCCATGTGTTGCTCACACAACTCCCGACGTTCTTTGAGTGTGCGTTTCAATCCTGGATGAATAACCATACCCTCTGGTGGCTCACTGATCACCTGACCTGGAACAAGGACAATTGTTTTACAAGGGAATTTATGAGTAGTATCTGTGTGACTAAGCCATTATCTTGATACGCCACAGATGTTGTATAACACTTCAGTATTACCTGAAGCTTCTTGAACTAGTTTGCTGAACCGAATGGTACGAATGGTACGCCTGCTTATCTTCCCTTGAGCATACCTACAAATCAAATCTATCCACAGTTCGTGCTATTGTCCAGATTGTGAATTTTCTTGCGTTTTTCTTAGACAAACAACAACTACGCAGCAGGCGCCATAATAAGGTTGAAAATCACAACCACCCAATGTTGCAAAAATGATGAAAATCCAAGTTCTTTTTAATAACAGTGAGGAGAATCAGTGTGCCTACGCGTAACCATTAAGTAGTTCGATGCATGTGATAAACGTTTTGACAGGATAAGCTGTGATGAAACGTGCAATGTTCGCATGAATAGATCCCGAAGGATTTGTGGCATCCGTGAGCACGCGTTTGAAATTTTGAAACTCCATCCCTGCGGGCACATCCAGATGAAGAAACAATAACACTGAGTGCTTTGTCCGACAAATGCCTGTCATGCGGGGAATTGATACCGGACGTGTTTTCAAATCAATACATCTACTCTTCAAAAACGTGAAATGCTGAGAATTTACCCTTCATTTGACCTGAAAATTTAAGTATGCCAATAACTGACGAGCCCTCACATCATTGTACATTACGCTCCCACAACAAAAGAGTGCCAACTGGAACGAACCAATGACTTGGTTATCTATTTTATTACGCATCACTCAAAAGTGCAACCCCTGTGTGTGGTGTAGCAATTTAATTAACTCAGTGGCTTGCTTCGACACATTGCAATGTGCACAAAACGTGTGGTGTCGGATGGCCCGAGCAAGCAGCGAAAAAGCAGGATGATGCTGTTTTCAATGCATGCAGTACAGTCTGGGGCATGTGCGTACTTTTCTGATTCAACACCCACTTAGAGCGAATGAAAGATCAAAGACCGAGCACGGTACAGGGAGTGAACAAAAGCCGGCTGCACGTACCAATGTGTTCCAAAATGGAATGTTCCACACCGGTATTAGGCAGGTACATGGGGTCTTTGTTTTCAAAGAAACCGTGCCACGGTGAGTCGATCCATGCTCGATTGTAGGTAACTGTTTGTTTCTTGGCCAACTCGTAAGCCTCTTCACAGATTTGGTCGTATTTTGCAATTTCCGCCTGCGGTCGGTGAGATAGAGAACAGATGAACATAGAGACCCTTGAGTAATTAACATGGACTCGCCATATTATATGGAAGAAAAACGCACCGGCACGAGATCGACTCATAATTGCGAAATTACCTGATACTCCTCCTCGGTCACAACACCTTCGGTGATGAGCTTTTTAGCGTACTGCTCCAGGGCTGTCGGTTGCTGTCGTATCCGCTTGTACATGAGTGGTTGAGTGAACATGGGCTCATCCATCTCATTATGTCCAGAACGACGATAGCAGACTAAATCGATGACCACATCTTTGCCAAACTCCGAGCGCCACTCGGCTGCGACTTGAGCAACGCGAGCCACCGCCTCAGGATCGTCTGCGTTCACATGTAAGATGAGTGAGTTGGTGACACGAGCCACATCCGTACAGTAAGGGGATGAGCGGGCCATTCGAGGATCCGTGGTGAATCCGATCTGAAGCGAACGGCACATGAGTAAAACAGTGATAACATCATTAGGATTCCTGACGATCAGTTGCCGTTAAAGAAAACTCGTCATTCACAAGTGGTTCTACACCTCACTGGTACACATATCATCAACAGTACTACAGGCATAATGCACGACAGCGTCCTCGTTGAAAAACATTCAGCTCTGAGAGAAAACGTGACAATGAGGTAGAACGGTGTTCGATGCGGAAAGAGTTCACATCAACAATCACTCTAAAGAATGTGCTTTAGAGCAGCAAATAGAATCAACATTTGAGAGAACCTTGTCAAGCTTACACTGCTTACTTTTCATCAGTTCAGTGCCTAAAAACCTGTAAGTTAAGAATTCACTGTCGTATTTTCAATGTCTAGTTAACAATAAAATCCACCCGCAAACGGACATGAGACCAATCAGATGCGCATGTGAGACACTAATCTGTTGAAACTCCAGTCTGGTATTTATAACTTCAAAGGGTCAAGGATTCCCTATCTCTGTGATACGTAATAGGCGAAGGAAGAAGTAGAAAGCTGTCAGGCAGTGTAAAGACACTTAATTTCGTGTTCGGCCTCAGTGACATGTTGTTGTCTAACCTCAGTATTTCAGACCTGGTTTTAGTAACAGGCTCGCGTAATGCAGCGGTAGCCAAACAGCGGTCACTTGACCAAACAAAAAAAAACAGTCTTACGCGGCAGACAATCCCACGTTCAGCGATGTTTCCAAGCTACATATATTTCTTTGTATTACTGTGAGATACAATAGAGTGTGGATAACAGAACAGATTAGATGCATCCTGACCGTTTTGGTTGATAATAAGAACGAGTTCAACTCACTTGGTTATTGACTACTATATGAACAGTGCCGTGAGTTGAATAAGACGGGAGATCGCTCAAGTGGAACGTCTCGTAGACGACACCTTGACCGCAGAATGAGGCATCGCCGTGAACCAGAATGGACATAACTTTTTTCCCATCGTTGTCACCACTGAGTCAAAGTAGAGGAACACCAAATCAGACTGAGGTTAGTAACAGAAAGCAACGGGAATGGATGGCCGAAAGCATAGCAATGAATGGATGCAACAACTTACCGATAGAACTGTTCTGCTTTTGTTTTACCCTGAACAACCGGGTCCACCGCCTCCAAGTGACTGGGGTTGGCGCAGACGGCCAAATTGACACGTTTGTTATTCACGTGATTGATTCGGGAATGGCTCATACCCAAGTGATATTTCACATCTCCGCTACCCTCATCCGCGGCTTCGAGACGCGAGTCGAACTGACAAAATATGTCTTCCAATGGCTTGCGGCATACATTGGCCAGCACATTCAGACGACCACTTGAAACGAATGAAAAACAAGCAAGTGACTCGGAGAATGTCAACAGAAAAGTGCTGGCATAGGTTTCGACTGATCGTGCGAAAACCTACCCGGTACACACAAGGCCAATATGGCTCAAGAACAAAAACAAACGAATACTCACCGATGAGGTATACCGATCACAAAGCTATCGATCCCCAAATCCGAGGATACATCAATCAATGTCTTCATAGCCGGGATGAGCATTTCACAACCCTCGACTCCGAAGCGTTTTTCCGAGCTCCATTTTTTGGCCAAATAAGCCTCGAATCGCGTGGATCGAATCAGTCGAGCCAAAATGAGACGTTTTTGCTCAGGCGTGAAAGACAACGAGCCCGGTGTTTCGAATTTGCGTCGGATCCAATCACATTTATTCAAACTATTGATGAACATATACTCCACACCGATATGTTGACAATAAACTTCCTGTAATTCGAGAAGGGTACGCGAGTTCAACAAGTAGTACACAAAAACAACTTGTGTATGATGTTCTACTTGTATTATGGAAACCATCACACTCGTGCGTTTATGGGGTAGACATAAATTCTGAACGCTAAATTTAATCCTGGATGAAGGTAGTATCACAAATGAGCGTAAAACCATCAATTAGATGCTGTGCGTTTTTTACAACAAATAATGAAATATGAAATAAATAATGAATATGAACATAGAATGGAGTTGGTTAGTCTGACGCTAACTGGACTGGTAACTTAGGTCTACAGATCAGAGATGACGGACCGCTAACAGACCAAACGTTGAACATGGTGCATAGTGCAGCCAGTAACCGTCAGACGGTGCCTACTGCGGTATCACTTGACATTAGCTAGGTATTCGAAGGCCCTTAGAGTTTAGAAAACCAAAGTCACTGGCGCAGATTTGGAGTCGTTCGTGAACGCTCGCTACTATTTAGACAAGTGGTAAATAAGATGATGGGAGGAAGTCGACAGTATGCCTTAAGTGTAAACTGGCCTTAATAAACTCAGAGCAAAAATCGTCCCCGTGACTCACCTCCAAGCGCCGAATAATTTCGCGCAAAGTTAACTCATGTTTATCCCCACCAATGTAGGTGGTTGGTGGCAGACGAAATGTTTTATCCAAGTCGGGTTCACCTGAAACAGAACGCGAAGAGAGGCGTGAACACAATTGGCTGAGCGAGGTGACACCAAATAAAATCACCTCCCAGAAATAAATTTTTCTTTCGCTATCGAAGCGAAGCGAACATGGAGATTACGAGCAACAATAGCCCCTTTTGTGGAGGACAAACCCAACAGTCAAAAAGGACGGTACAGAACGGAGTGGGTAGCACAAGGTGGTCAAGGAGGAGCGTGCATCAACAAATAACTGGACAGGAGAACAATAAAGCACTCAGCGAAACATGTAAAGCGCAATATCACACAAAGCACAGCCAAAATTTACTCCGGGTGTCACCCCGATGTCTGAGCCTGCACTTGGACTAATTTTATCGTAAAGATGCACAAGATTGCTGCTGATTGCAGTTAAGGGAATAAAGCGGTGGAATAAAATTACAAATCAGAATTACTTCAAAGATCACGCACTGAGCACTCAAGCAACGAATGAGTGCCCGACAAAAAAGGAGTTTTTATTTAAGTTAGCTTCCCATGCTTGATAATCCATCTGAGATCAGGATAGTGGTGGATGCATTAAATGAGTGGGAGCTAGTCAACATTCTATGCAATTGTCACTCGTTATTTAGAGATTTGGTCATTGATTCATCCAACCACAGGAAACATGAGACTAATTTAGAATTATTTTGCGAGTCACTACTGCATCACTGGGAAACAGAACAGCTTGAATGCATATTCGCTCGTGTTAAAGCCCATGAATTGTATGGACTCTGTTCGGTCAACAGTATTTCACCAAAGTCTCCGAATCAGAAAGACGGCTTTGGTTTCTGAGGTATGCCTTACTGCATTAGCAGTCATAGTTGTATAGCGTGGTAGTAATACGGAACAAACGCAGTTTTGGTTGATGGGATGGGGGAAGAAATCTCGATTTGTGAATAGCCACGGAGGACTACTGCAAAACAGTCTGAGACTGAGTCGGTAGGAGACTAGAGAATACGGTGATTTTACAATCACTGGCTATCAGAATCGCAATACGGGTTATGGATATTGAACATAGATGTGTCGATGGCGGTCACTGATAGAAAATTGAACAGCAATTTTTAAATTTACTCTATTACCTCTACCCTGGAAAAGCTTAGGACAAGAATATTCCGGTTTGGGATGGCAGCAGTCAGCGCAGTGTGACACTTTAGTGCCTTCGACTGTCTGACGACAGTCGAAGGCACTAAAGTGTCACATTACATCAGCAATCCAACAGGCCAAAAGTAGGGGGGGGGGGGNAAAATTTATTCACTAAATCATTAGAAAGATAATCAAAAATAGGCTGACGGTAGCCAGAATGGCACCAGGCTAGTTGGATCAGATGGAACTGGAAAGGCTTAATGTGAACTATGTTCGTTTGAAAGTTTGATAAATAGCGTACCGGCGCATGTTTCGCACCGATGCAATCAATAAATTGACCAACGTAGAAGATACAACACAGAATGATGGGTGGTAGGAAAAAACCGATTGATTGATCGAGGGGAAGAAAAAGCGAATCAGACAACGAGTAAATAAACCGAAAAGGGGAACAAACAATTAAAACGTCCAGATAAAAACAACAATAACAACAGTTTGGTATGCACCGATATGAAATGCAGATTGAGGGGCGGGTGGACGCAAAAACAGGCAGACGGGAGAGGGGAGTTCGGATTGCGAACGTAGCAAAGCCGCTTACCTGATTCGCCCAAGTACCGTTTATACACAATGTACCGAGCAGTGCCCTCAGAGGGGGAAGTGATATTAAGGGGATCTAAATGGGCAGCAAGATGCCCTCGGACCTAGTTGTGGGGATTAAGAGCGGAATGAATAAAACGGGGCGAAGAGGAAGCGGGTGGGGAACACGCGAAAAAAAAAGAAAGAACAGCACGAGTTAGCCGAAAATTCACACTTCACACACACAGAGAGACGCAGTGGCAGAGATACAGAAGCTCAACGCAATGTTAAGCTACTATCAGACCAAGAACCCCACGTGTTAGTTAGGTAGCGTGAACAAACGAGAGTATATAGGTAATGACGTACCAAGGTTGTAAAAACTCAACGTCAGTTCGGGCGGAATCGTATCATCCAGATCGGCGTGAAGGATACCGAGAGGGTCGAGATTCGCCACCCTGTGAGCTAGGGACTGAACAATGAAAGCCCGGAGGCGATGTGTAAATGCAGAATATGATCGCTAGGACAGCGGATCAGATTGCGGCAAACTAAGACAGATTCCGCAATGATCACATTCCGAAACTGTCTGTCGTTTCACGTTTGGAAGCCGATGGGCATACGGGGGAAATTTCAATAACCGTTAATGCAAATTCATTGGATAATCATGAAAGAAAGTAGCAGTTGATGAACCGGAGCGAAATCTTCAATATATACGAGCTCTTTGAAATCGAGTCCCAGTGGAACACAATCACGAAGAGGAGCAAACGAACAACAACAAAAATCAAAATAGATAAAAAAACAATGTTTCGGGCAAGTGCCCTGAATGTCAGGCAGAATAACGACCGTAACCATGACAAGGCATGCTATTCAAAAACAATTCTAGGACTTAAATGGAAGATGTGACCAGCTCGGTATTTTGAACCGTAAAAGATAAATGCAAGTCGGCAGAATTCAACAGGTCACGTCATTGTATTTGTCAATAGCGAACAGGAGATACCGTTAACCGAACTTCATCTATCGTTTTCGCGTTCCAGTGTGTTACCGTTCGTTCTATACAACTATTCATTCTGTTCTTTCGCGTGGTCAATGTCACCCGGTTCAAAGTAGAGTCAAAGAAACAGACACAAAGCCACAATTATCCATGCGTGAATTCGGACCGATAATGATTAGGGTTGTCACCATCACCCACATGTTTTGTAGGTAGCATTGGGTTGTTCAAGAGCTAGATGTGCATCCTTGGAGAAATAGGCCAGTCATTGCCGTCATCATCAGCATCATCGTACGGCGCAACATAGTGAAGCAAACTTCACCGATCGGTGTCAAGCTCAAAATACATGCAAGGTAAGGGATAATGTGTGAGTAGAAATAGACCAAGTACAACTGGGGAGAACATTGTGTTCTATAATCCAAAAGATTCAGCAAGGAGAAAGCCGATGAAAAGAAATAGCAAATTTCCACGAAGAAGACCTAGCGGTGGTAAACCGAATACATCATTATGCTTATTGTATATTATTGGGCGGCAGTGGTAAGGTCGTCGAAATAACCACCTGGGAGCCCTGAGTTCCAATCCCGACACCACCGCCGCGGCCCCTTTTCTGAAAGCTTTTTCGTACATTTTACAATTAACAAACCAAAGCCGGTGTAAAAACGTTTACTTTATTCCCAAGAGTGAAATTAGGCTCGTGCACGAGACAAAATACAAAGAAAGATTTCGGAACAGTGGCATAACTGTAACTGAGTCTTAAATGGTACAACAGATAGCACTGGCCAACTTGATGCGCCATAATTAGCATAGTAATGAAAATTCAAAACAACGATATCAAATAAGCGAGTAGAGTCACCGTGAGAAACTGTATTATTGTATTTCGCCTGTTCGTCGAGCTTGGCAATTTGTCTGCAAACGTTTCATTACCAACCGAAGCGACATCTACTGTGCTTGTTAAGTGGTAGTGTTCTGGTGGCGTCTTAATTAAATTTAGAAACTAAATTGAAGCGAATTTCAAGCCTAGAAAACGGATAATAATATTTTGTTTGATGCGTCTCTTAAACTCCTGGAAAAACTCACCTGGTAGAGAGATTATTGTTCCCTAAAACTGTGTAATTTTCGACTGGTTGTTGGTTGCGATTAAATTGACCTTGAATTGTAGTGTAACCATCCCAAACGGTCTTCGCTGATTGGTTAGTTCGTTTAATTTGCACCAATTTATAAGGTCATAAGTTCTGTCACTCCAAGGACATGTCTTTAGGTGCCGACTGTCAATGATGTTCTGCTTATTGCATATTCTTGTCTTCCATGGCCACGCTAGTGAGTGGCCTAGTTCCGAATCACGCGCGTCGTCCAGCGTGTACCGAGTCGTGACAATTGTCGTGTGTTTACGGTCCAATCATCTCTCAAAGTCCGAATTGCATTTTAACCTATTGGTGTCAGTATCACATCATACTGGAAATCTCTCGTGACTGTGATCACAGCCTCAAAGGGCTTGATACTTAGTCGTATCGTGTGCCTCAGTCACCTACTGTGTACGCTCGGGAGGAGACTTGTCTTGTCCGTGATACTGCGTTCAGTCTCAGGGGCCGACGCTGTTTTGCTTTTGTATCACAAAAGACAGACCGGCCTCACGAATGTCTTGACTTGTAGTCACAGTAGGTAGCAAATTTCAAAACAGCTATACCGTTGAAAACTAGTCGAAGTTGCAACAAACTACTTGATTGGTAACATCATTCCAGTAGTGGTGCATAGAGTTTAGCGAATGAACACCACAAGATTTGATTCAATAAATAAATAACGTTAAAATAACGGCGTTCGTGTTCTATTTCGCATGACGTTATTCCCTGCTCCAGTCCAGATCGACCGGCATTCCACAAATCTGAGCCCCTCATTCTCACTACGGTAATCAAACGCCTGTACCTCTGTTCTGTCAGCGACATTTAAGAGAACGATTGAATTCGCTAGAAGTCTGAGTGCCCAGAGAATCGGATGATTCCGTTTTGTAGATAAGCATAATCAAATTAAAGGTAGAGAATTGACCAGATTGCTATCTATCATTTTTCATGTAATGTAGTAACTTGTATTCTGATTGCATTTTAATTACGACCAACTTATTGTGAACACCGAAAACGATCTGGTTCATATCGCTCTCTTTCTCTCGCACACACCAATCAGATATATGATCGTACAGCCACCTGAAATACAGCCCATCCAGTTGTTTGTGAATGACAGTGTGTTCAAGGCCGATCGTCCAATCATATTAAGTCGAAACGAACGAAGAATAAGCTTGAAACAGTATACAAATCGTTGGAGTTCTTGGTATGCAGCCTCAGTAAGGTGGGTGTCTAAGGATGTGATTGATCACTTTTCCATTGCATTAGGTAAAATGCTCCTATACGACCAAGAGGGATAAATAGCTTCTGCTGGCCAAAGAATCTGAGTCCCAATCAACCAGGAAGAGGTGTACAAATAAAGTCCACCTTCCTGTTTGCGGTCGTGATCAGTGACACGATTGGACATCTACGTGTATTGGGCACCTTGGACGTTTGATCCCGTCAAAAGGGTTCAAAGAACTGAACAAGGATCCTAACGGATTGCGGTATTCACACACAGCACTACCTGCTTTGATTTGTTCAACCTGGCAATATTACGCGCACAATCAAAATGTGGGCCTATTTCTTTTTTTATCAAGATTATCATACCGTGATTTGTTAGGCACACCACCTGGCCTCAGACGAGTGGGAAACATGTTTACTTGGGTATGTCACACACCTGACTGGGTATGAAAGCACTGCACATTGCGAATGAGAAGACTAATTATTCATGCCGAATTATTGAAGTCTACACGTATGATAAGCGAGTTTATAGATGAAGATCAAATACCTTTCAAATTGTGACAAAACTCTAGACAGAAAATGAGTGCNTGAGTGCACGAAAATATTACGGTCACTGCGTCGACCACTTACTTGATAAGATCGGATTATGGCTTGCACGGAAAGGTGATCTTCAATGGTTTTCACATTGGGCTCGGCTCGAATGGACGGTGTTGCAGAGGGCTGGAAGGATAACGCCTGGCGACCAAGCGTTGGGGGTCGAGCATAAGCCTGACCAAACTGTGCCCCAGCGGTTACACCTCGAAAGTATATATCCCAAGACTGAGGAAGGTATAACATTAAAAACAAACCACCCACCTTATGAACGCTAGATGGATCGTTTCGCCATGCTTCATAAATATCCTCTATGTAGTGAGAGGAAGTACCATTGATGAAAGGCTCTTGAGATGAAGACTGCTGTTGCCGAACAAACGACGTGCAGAGGAGCTGGTGGCCAGCCTGTTTGTACTTCAAGAGTTTCACCGCTCTAGCAGCAAGCATCCTTCGATAAACTGTTTGAAACGAAGAGGAAAGCATTTTGAGCTGTCTGAACACATTGACATCATGTAAAAATGTATCAAATTCCACAAATAGACAAAGTAAGTGATTTTTTAATCACAGGGACTGACAGTGAGATGAAGTTATTCTTTGGTTTGCATTAGGTGAAAGCAGACTCCCATAAAGCCGCAGTGGAGTGAATGTTGCGATTCAAAATAAATTTAATATCACGAACAAAGGCGCCAGTGAAAACGAGTTGAGATTCCGTTCGTGTCACCTTTCTTTTACCTTAGTCCACAGTTTAAGAAAGGAACTAATCACAGACAACACCATAGAGGGAATTATTTCAAGTATTATTGCTTGATGAATGTCTTGCCCATCGCTACCTTAGGTAAGTGGTGGTAGCATGCAGCCAAGCGGCCAATCGGTGGGAATATTGCACAATCAATCTTAAAGCGCTTAAATGGCATTCATGGTAGCCACGTGCATACTCTAACCAAATTGAAGGAATCGGCTAAACACTAATGTTACGGCAACGTACTTCGAAAAAGAAAAAGCGACTTCGTATCACCAACGTAATTCCCGGAATAAGCTGGAGTTTGTTGATGATCACTCTGGAATTCCGTGTGCAGATAGATTTTGCAAAGTACCGGATGCATTACAAGCGGTTTGACGCCAATTGTTTGAGGTATAGTGGTAATTGTCGTCAGGTTCAATATCACGCCTAACCGGGTCCTGTGGTTCGGTACCCCAAGTTTTAGAATCGCGGTTGTTGGCTTTCTCCTCGCTATGAATAATTCTAGTATGCAATCGCGGACATTCCAATCTTCCGTTTACGCCTTCATTCACATGGGTAGTCGTGAAACAACAATCAAAACCGGCGCAAGGAAGTGCACGGTTATTTGTTGTAAAAACTGAAATGGGCGCAAATTTCCTTGCCGGCTCTAGTTTTGTAAAAGTCAACCTCTTTCTCATTGGACACAAATCCCTTCACAACCACACCTTTCGCTCTTCTATTGCCGATAGGTGGCGTCTGCATTTTCGTCGATCAGTCACCACTTCCAGTTTATAAGATTCTCAAAATACATGCTCCCAAGTTAGCTCCTTGTCATTTTTTGTTGTTCCGTCAAATGTTCTAATTTTCTAATCCCTTGGAAACACGATGTGATTTTGCTATTCCAAAACGCCATGATCTCTCTGACCCGAACGATTACCGTTAGCATCACGGTACAACGGCATATGGAGAAGAGAATTTCATTTATTAATGTGAAACTCATAATGCATACAAGGTAACTGAGAATGTGTAAGGTAGATAGGGATTGGGCCTCTTCTGGGGTAAGGAGAAAGAAAGCGAATCCCTATTGTCAACATTCAGAGTACATAGTCCAACTGTGTATACGCATTGTCTCAAGCTCACTTCATCTAACCTGCGCCAAACTACGTAAACATTGACAATCGAAGATTGCCTTCCACGCGTTAACTTAAGGACCCTCGAAAGTAAAGCAGAACGAATCGTGAAATGGCGTAGCACACGAGATCTTTCACTGTGCTGCCTCTATCTCTGAGGGTGTGTCCGAGAAGTTTATTTTAATATTACGATTTCCATGTATCGATAATTATACATATACATTTGTGGTGATTTTGTTACATCTTTGATCTTTATACCACTGCATCACCGTTTACTGATTTTCTATCTTTCTATTGTAGCTGATGTACCTACATTGTTAGAAGACTAAAGCCTCATTTCCAGCTGTTTGTTTTCTCTCTCTCGTTCGTCGCTCAATCATTCGAGCTCATCACAATTTAATCTTCTAACAACGATGGATCGCTTATTTCGCCCGGAGCGATTCGATACCGATCCTTATTCTTCATCCGCTTCCGAACAGTGGATTCACTGGCATGAAACATTCCACAAATTCATATCTACTGTCGATCTATCCAAAGTTGCTGGTGAATTTCATATCGCCGATTATGAAGATGCTTTCAAAACCCTTGAAGGGCTGTACATTAAACCAAAGAACGAAGCGTTCGCACTGGCAACAGCAAAACAAGAACAAACGATTGATAAGTTTACACAGAAACTCAGAGTCCTCGCAAAGGATTGTAACTTCGTCACAGGTTCCGCCGAGAGACATCGCGATGAAGCTATCCGTGATGCGTTCATTACGGGTCTGCTTTCCAACGATATTTGCTAGCGGCTTCATGATAAGCAAACCCTAAGTTTGCAGTGTGCTTTTAATGAGGCTAGTACTTTGGAAGATGTACAGCAGCAATCGCTCACTTACGATTCAGCCGTACATGTACCCTGTAGTGCCATGACTAACCAGACAGATTCCACGATTTCAATCCTACGTCCAGGAGTTTCTGATTCACAACCCGAGATAAAAGACCTAGTTGCAGTGGTTTCCGTTAAATGCTTTTTCTGAGGAATTTATCGACATCCTCGTTCGAAGTGTCCAGGCGAGATGTCACATGTAGTTCTTGTGGAAAGAAAGGGCATTTCCAAAAGGCGTGTCGAGCCAATTCCAACACTCATCTCAGACGTACATTATCTGTGTTAAATCCAACCATTTCGTCCGTTGTTGCAGAATCAAAATTCGTCGGTCTCTCCAATTCCACGGTAACAATTCAAGTTAATGGACTAACTCTGAACGCGTTAATCGATACAGGCATTTACGAGAGCTATTTATTCACTAACATGGCTGCTAGGCATCGATGGCCTGTAGAGTCAACCAAACACCACTCACCTGTCCTGTATTACCCAAGGGCACGTGTATGCCTCTATTCAATACAAAAGCACACTACAAAAGGGTAAAACTTTCCTTTTTAAAATATTTATGCACAGACGTCATTCTCTGTCTAGATTTCCTCGACTAACATCAGAATGTCATCATTCCCTTTGATGGTAATCGTTTACCTTTCTATGTACGTACCCTCAATGCAGCAAAAGTCGGCTCAGTTGTTTGTAAATCTGGCGCCGAATCATGCACCAATCGCTACGAAATCGCGCCGCAACTCAGTTTCCGATTACGAGTTTATCAAAGCCGAAGTCAAACAATTATTGTTAGACAAGATCATAGAGCCTTGCACATCTCCTTGGCGGGCACAGATTTTTGTAACAGCCAACGAGAGACATAAGAAACGGATGGTAATTGATTAAAGCCAAACGATAACCCGTTTCACTTATTTGGATGCTTATCCCCTGTCACGAGTGGATGAACTAGTGGAAAAGGTTCAGTGCACTTGATCCGCAGTGTCTATCACCATTCGAGAAGAGGAAAAGGCATACACGGCATTCGAGGCTTGTGGTAAGTTGTATCAGTTCTGCCGCATTCCATTCGGAGTTACGAACGGCCTGCTTTCAACGCACGATAGATAATATCATCCATAAAGAATATCTACAAGATACATTCGCGTATGTGGACAACGTCACAGTGTGCGGTCGTGACCCGGAAGAGCATGACAGAAATCTCCGCAACTTCATGGATGCCGCTAAGAAACACGGTATAACACTCAATGAACACAAGAGTGTAATTGGCGCTAACAAAATTCTTCTTTTCGGGTACAAAGTTTCCAAAGGCTCAATCAAGCCAGACGCCGAACGATTCTCAGCCTTGAGGGAACTACCTCCTCTGAAGGAAATCGCTTCGCAAAGACTAGTGGTGGGGATGCTGGCGTACTATGCCCATTGGATCCCACACTTCGACAAATTCACCCACTAGTGCATAACCACACCTTTCCCATTCCGGACAGCATAAAATCCTCTTTCGAAGAGTTGACAAAAGAGCTAGAAAAGGCCGCTACTTTTACCGCTGATTACAACCGCCCACTAAATCATTGAAACCGACGCATCCGACATCGCAATGGCGGCAACACTCAATCAGGACGGAAGTCCGATGGCTTTCTTCCCCAAGAAAGCGCCGTCACTCAGTGATCGAAAAAGAAGCGTGCGCTATCGTAGAAGCTCTAAGGAAGTGGGAACACCTACTCGGGAACCATTTTACTTTTATCACGGACCAGCGTTCAGTTGCCTTTATGTACAACAAGCGGCACAAAGGTGAAGTGAAAAACGATAAAATTCAGCGATGGACATTAGAACAAGCATGCTTTCACTACGACATCCAGTATCGGCCTGGGGGGCAAAGTCAAGCTGCCGACACATTCACCCGAAACCGATGTATTTCAGCAATGTCACACACGGACTTGAAAGTTACACAACACTCAGTATCACCCCGGCATCACACGCTTGTTGCACTTCATTCGTTCTAAGAACTTATCCTTCTCCATAGAAGACGTTAAAAAAGTTGTAAATGAATGTGAAGCATGTGCACAACTTCAGCCCCGCTTTTTCAAACTTAATGAAAGCGACCAGACCGTTCGAAAGAATCAGCACTGATTTTGAAGGCCCATTTTCTTCCATCTTTGACCATGATAGACGGATACTCTCGTTTTCATTTCGCCTTTGCTTGCGCTGATATGTCATCCTCAACTGTTATTAACTGTTTCAGTTAATTATTCTCCTTATTTGGAGTGCCGTCTTATGTTCATTCCGATCGTGTCTTTGTCGGATGAACTGCAACGTTTTCCCCATAATAAAGGAGTGGCAACCAGTCGGACAACTCCATACAAACCACGGGGTAACGGACAGATCGAGAGATTAAATGGAACGTTGTGGACAGCCATTACTCTAGCACTGAAATCTCAACAGATAGATATAAGCCACTGAGAACATGTTCTACTGGACGCTTCACATTCAGTCCGTTCACTGTTGTGCACTGCCACCAATGAAACGCCTCACGAGAGATTTCTAATATTCAATCGTAGGTCTACTAATGGTACATTTCTCCCGACATGGTTGTCGACTCCGGGACCAGTTCTTCTCAAAAGAATGAATCGAACTTCAAAATATGATCCCCTAACGGAAGAAGTGAAACTCCTAAACTGTAACCCACAATATGCTCATCTATATCTTCCGAATAGAAAAGAGGAAACTGTATCATTCA